GACTGTTCCTCCGACCAGTGGCAACAACCTTCAACGGGCACAACACCAAACCTATCCGAATCGCTGAACTAATGCGAGATGTGTCCCAGCACTTTGTCAAAAAAGCGCTGCAAGAGGGTTTTGTTTCTATGGCAACAGTATCTTGACAACATATCACCGCCGCCTTTCAGCGCCCAGCTGATCTGCTCCCACATTCGGGCTTTTCTACCCGAAAAATCATAAAGCTCGGGATAGACAGCTAGGCCCAAAACAAGCTTCTCCTCCATTTTCTTGGTTGCCAGGGTGACGGATCCCGCTTCATCTGATTGGTTGCCGGAAAATGAGCTGCAGTGACACCAGCGCCTTTCTGAAAAGTTAGAAGTTAGTTAGTTGAAGAGATATTCAACTAAAAGTGTTTGGTGCAGCCGCGTCTTTCTGAAGAAAGACGCCTTTTCTTGAGGCGTTTGCGGACGCTCTCTCCTCATTGGGCACAAGCCCTAAGTTTGCAGCTTAAACACTGTATCAGTGTTTCCTCATTATGTGGATAAAAGGCATAATGCAAATTAGTTGTGTACAGGTATGCACAAAAATTGCAGGAGACCCAGTTGCAATGCCATAAAGGTGAAAAAAGTCAATACCTTCTGCCACTGAATTAATTTTACAGCAGTAATAAAAAAAGAAAATGTCTGTTGCGTGGCGATACAAATGTATTTGCTGATATTGGAGGAGAGAAAAAGCAGCTGTCTTTAAACCAACCAGCAACTGAATAATACTTGAAATAGTGCCATTAAAAGAACAATAAACGTATGCTCTTAGGGAGGCCGCTTTTACCGCTTCAAAAACGGCGTATGTTTGTGAATGAGTGTTTGTCTCTTCTTTCAATGCTGAACTAACTGGTGAAAAAAAAAATAAAAAATGAAGTGTTGTTTTCTGTATTATTCTAATTTAATGTGGTTGAACATTATTACAAAATCTCTGTGATGTGAGAAGCAGCTGCTCTTGTAATTATTTTTAGGAAAAGCCAATAGTATGCAATGTTTGTTCAGTGCCACTTGGACGGGTGCCCGTATTAGCTGATCCAGTTAACAGTGTTCCCAGTGAAAAACTAAAATCAGTGCACCTGATTTGTTGCTGTTCTATACTCACTGCTGCGACGGTGTATGGAAACTCACTGTCATGTCAATACACCTCCATCAGCAGGGAAGTGTAAGTGAGTGAGTGAGTGAGTGAGTGAGTGAGTGGGAGGCGAGGAGCAGACGGGGACATTTGGTGTCTGATTCTGCAGGAGACACAGAGTAAACCCCACACAAGCTGCTGCTGAATCTTTGCTAGTGATACTGCATTGGACACTGTTAAATTTTTAATAGTCTAACAGTAGTGTGATGTCACTGCCTCAATGATCCAGTTTGCTTTTTAGTGGAAGTCCTACCCCCTACATTTATCATACAACACACCCAACGGTAGGATTTCAGGTGGTTAAGACAGGGCTGGAGAGGAGGCTCATCCATCGCAGGCTGTGATTGCACCTGTGCCAGGCCTGAGTTTATACTCATGCATCCATCCGGTATATTCTCCCTCAAATACTGCCATAGTGTAGAGGAGCAGACAGGCCTGAAGCCTTTTAAGGTGGTGAAGCAGCCATAAAGGATTCTGTCTTCACTGAATGGTAAATGATTCACCTGTTGAACTGGAAAAAAAAAAAAAAAAGGTTCAAATACAGTCTAATAATAGGAGTCAGAGTGGGGCGGGTTCCTCTGGTGATGGAGGTCAAAACAGGGCGTGGAGCTAAGCCGGGCCCCGAGTGAAGACTCGCAGGCACGGAAAGCTTCTGTCAGCGGAAGCAAAAAAAAAAAAAAAAACGTTTTAAATTCAGATTGACGCTGAAGAAACAGTGATGCATGTTGGGGTACTGAGGTGAGGGTACTGTCAGCATTGCTCCTGTTGTCTGACTCCAATTTGTTTTCCGTGGCAAAGTTTCAGCATCTCACTGGCTCAACAGCTCGTTTACCCTTCCCTGATTAATTAAGGCAATCGACTGGCTGAAACAATTGCCTCGCTGGATAACCGTGCCCTAATTAGGAGGTAATTGAAAAGTATCAATGACTAAAACAACGTCTGGGCAGATGTAGCCCGGAGCGGTATGAAAATTGAGCAAAGATTTCTACAACTGTTTTTTTTTTTTCCCCCCTTTCATTTCTCTTACTTCCTTTTGCTCTTACCTCGCGGCTCTCTGGTCCAGCTGGTGGAACGCCAGTGAAGGGAAAAGGAGGATGAGTTATGACTCCCAGGGGCTCAGAAACCACATATACAGCCACACATTTCAGTATATTCTCAGAAAAGCAGATGAATGCTTCTCGACTTCCCTGAGCTGACCCCGTCCTCATTCCATTTATTTGATGTGACTCACGCTGTGAATCCGCCTAACAACTATGGACAGTCTGAGAAGAAAAAAAAAAGGGGGTAAAACTTATTCTGCAAATATGTCGGTATTAAAGTGAGTTCAGGTGGGCTTATCCTCGTCTTCATCCCTAAATCCTCATCACTGCCACCCTGAAAGTCATTACACCTGCGATCCATCTGACAATCCTATTAGACTTAACTTCATACCGCAGCATTATGCGCCGTGTTCCTGATGTTCTACTAATTTTTACATTTCAAGGCCACTTAGTATTTCGTGCGAATCGCATCTGCAAGAGTTTTAAATCTGTACTTGCCCTCCTCTTTTCTTTCATTCTACCCTCAGGACAAAACAAAAACAAGTGTATTTGCACACACACTCATTTCCATAAAAATCCCACATACCCACTGTTATAAGATATCTCTTCCCACAAGCACATTATTCAGTCTGAAAACACATTCAGATCCTTTATGTTACGGCTGCGCTAACATGCCAGGAGATATTACTCACATTGCTCAGCATAGCGACAAAATGAGTCAGTAGTTTAAACTTAAATACAGATCAATTCTTTAACGTGGCGTCAGTACAAAGAGACAACCGATCTAATGGATGGTAAACGAGAATCCTGGCCTGACTTTACACCAGGAGGGACTCTGCTGAAACAACAGGGACCACCACCACCACACACACGTCGGAATATCAAGTCTGGGTTTTTAAGTCAGAAGGAATCAGGACCTGCGAGAAAACATTCAAGGCCTGAAGGTTTCTGCAGGTACAAACCTAAAGACACACACACACCAACCGCTGAGAGGACGACTGGAGTAGAATATGAAATCAAGTGTGGCCGGTGGATGAACACCAGAAACGGACAATACCAGACCAAAACCGGTCCCAGCACCCACTGGGTGGTCCATATATATACGAACACCTGTTATCATGTAACCTAGGTTAAGTGCAACTCAGCAACCGCCGTCTGCGGAGGAAAAGCTAGTAAGTGGTCCTTGAGTTAGAGGGGGGAAAAAAAGTGAGTCTGGGAAATCTGCAGTTTGCTTTCTTCTGAGAGTTAGATAAGAACTTCAATAGCACTCTTATGTCCGTACGTTAAATATGAAGCCAGCAGGCATTTAGCTTAGCTTGTGACACCACCAAATATATTGAAAAACAAGGATTAAATAAATAAGATATAATATGTTAATTGGTGAGCTTTAGAGGTGATGGTAGAGCCAGACTTTCTGTTTTCCCCCGTTTCCATTCAGATATGTGAGTGGTATCGATCCTCTCATCTAACTCTCAGCAAAACAGCAAATATTCCCCAAAATGTAAAACAATTTCCGGTCAAAAAATATCCAACATTTCTGAGTTCTGCTTTCAGTGCTGCTCAACTCACTCTTATCAAGTTGCAATAAATCACTTTCCGTGGGTGCAAACATGATCATACATGACAAGATAATTATATTTGCGACATATCAGTGTCTCAATTAAAGGGAAGTGGGGCTCTCATCTGTGTTGTAACCATGCTTTGAGATTTAATATAATTTTGCATAGTTCAGTTTAGTGTGTGGGATGAAAACTTGAGTCCTGAGGGAGCCTGGGCTCCGGGCTGAGCCGTTTGCTGTGTCCGATGATGAAGCACATTTACAGGAGTCAGAGAAGCTGCTAATAGATCTACTGTTAAGAGTCACTGCCTCAAGGGCACTGAGACATTCAGACCTGCTGGCCATCACTTCCGCTCAATCTCCCTTCCTCCTCCTCCTCACTGTGTTTTTTCTTTTCAACCCACACAAAAACTTGGCACATCTGCCGAGCTGGCAGCGTGAAACACCTGTAGAGACCGGCAGGCTGAGCCAAAGTTGCCAGGACAAAGCGGAGAGGGCCAGGACACTCTCCGTGTTAAGACTGTATGACGTAACCAAGTGTAAACACTGGAGGCCATTTAGGGAAGCTCCTGGTGAGAGAGTGAACGAGGCAGATCTGAAGTGGAAGGACGACTGATCAGGTATAGATTTCACGGGGATATTAAAAGGACGATATTAACTTCCATCTGTCAGCTGACATCACCTCCTGCTCCTGCTGGAGTCATCAGGAGAGAGGAGGATGAGAAGCACTGCTGAGGAGCTGCAGCTCTCAGAGAAAACAAAATCCTGTGTCAGTCATGAGCACTGGCTCGCTGTACATCACAGACTGGTACCGATTATATCAAAGAGCACACTCATTAAAGAAGAGATATGGAGTTAATAAGGATTCAGCCATCCAGACTGAATAACTATAACTGGAAAATGCCTAAATACAGTCGTTTAAATAAGACTATACAAACATTGTTGGTTTAAAATGATGAATAATAGACCTGCACCGACTGAATGACAGTTTGATCTAGTCACTGCACACATCTCAACTCTGTCATTTTGTGCCTGACAGCACAAACCACAAGCACCTTGTGTATCCACAACGCAAAATCAAAGAAAACACACGTTTGCATGAGTTGCCATATTATCAGCATCAGCCTCTCAGCCCGTGTGCTGCTCTTTGTTTAATTCCCCCCAACTGCATGTGAGCAGATACGGCATCACATATGTCGTGTTCCTCTCGTAAAAGGAAAATGAATGAAGAGGAGTCTGAAACCTACCGTTCCCGGAGATGTGGTTCTCTACCTCGCCGTGTCCAGCTTGCCGTGTGGAGACACTAAGTTGAATGTAGAGTCCCATGTAATGCAAACTCCCCAGCAGCACCCTAAACGCTCCCATTTCTCTTCTGTTTTATCTGCTCTCCTTTCCCCCTCTTTCTTTTTCACATCGGGTGGAGGGGCACGTCGTATTTTTTGTTTTTGTTTTTTAAAATAATTTTCTTTGTTGTTGTTGTTGTTGTTTTTTCTTTTGCTGTTTCTTTGTTGTTTTGTTTTTTAAAAATCCAGGTGACTTGTTGTGGCGAGGAAGGGGAGCGAGATACCTGTGCGAAATAAAGAAACGAAGAAGTCACCGCAGCCTCCCTCTGTGCCAGCACACTGACTGAAGCTCTGCTTCCGCTCACTCGGCTCTACATGCGGCGGAGGGAGACCTCTGCCACACGCGAGGTGCCGCGGTTTGCAATGAGTAATATCAATTATTGGCGGAGTGATATTAAAAACACGTTCACATCCTGCCTGAAACTTTACGATGTTTAATTTTTCGCCCCAGGAAACGCGCTTTTATGAAACGACGGAGACAAGTAAAATGTTAAAAGACATAACATTGTTGTGTTTTATTAATGGTACATTTTTTTTTCGTTTTTCTAGGGGTTTTTTTTCCAGGTAGGTTAGAGCCTATATACAGTCTATGGTTACAGCATTAGCTCCAACATCAGCTTCCTACTAACATGAAGGGCAAAAAGCCTGCCTCACTCATTTAATTAATTTGCTTAAAGGTTTTTGCTTAAAGGTCATGAGAACTTATTTTTCAACGAGCAATGGGACCTTAAACAAACATAGTATTTTCGATAGATTTTTGTTTTTTGTTTTTCTCTGGGCAGGCAGATCCGCGTTACAGTTACATCCATTTTACTGCCTGTTCAAGACGTGACCCAAGTGTGTTAACTAAGAAATAGCCAGCCGTCATTTGGACCTCCTTGTGGGAGTGACCAGATGCGGCCAGACGTCAAAACTAGATCCACAGTGGCACTGCCTTTGGGCGGAGGGACACAGACCAAGGTAAGTTTTACAGATCTGGGCCTGAACTTACTATGGCTATGGGCCAGATTTTTGCTGTTAGGGTTCTCACTGGTTGGAAATTGGACCGTGCTTATTCATAAAATCTGACAATGTGATCTTACACACTTCTGTGAAACAAACAGGATTCAGAATCTAAACTGAATGAACCAAAAAACCTATGTCGAGAGTTCTCTAATGCCCAACTATAAGACTATATTTTTTCTGGAAATTGTGTTTGAAAAAGTGGAGGTCAGTCGTCTTCTATTTGAAGATGAAACAATTATGTGTTTATTTCATGAGAGATTTTTTTTTAATGGAGAGAGAACCAGTGCTGCCTTTTACAAAGTGTTGTCATTAGGGTTGTTTGTAGCGATAATGTTTCCAGTACTGCAAATGTTTTCAAGTCTGTGAGCTCTGAAGAAAATCCTGTCAGTCAAAAATTCCATAATGGAACAAAAAAAAAGGAGGTAAACATGACATGTACAACTCAACACACTGCATTTTGTAAACGCAGATATCTCCGTTGTGCGACTCGCCAGCTGGCATTGGGGGAGAACAATCCCACAATGCTATGCTCCGCATTTTATACTTTCTGCTGTGAGTACAGCTGTCAGTGATGACGCAAAATGATGATGATAGAGTGTCTGAAATCTGAATTTACTGCTCACTATTGACTAAACTGTGTCAGCCTTCAAGACTGATCAGGGCAACATACTGGAGCTGTGCTGTGGTGCTGTCCGTTGTGCTGAAATGAAGCCTCAGTGTTAGTCACATACTGAACAAGCCACACTATGATATGGGCTATTGGACTTTATGTAAGATATTTTGTCCACTTTTACAAGCGGAGCAATATACTTACAAACAAACCAGAGAAAATCTTCTTGCTACCGAAATATAACAATAATAATAATTAATTCATTGTTTTTATGTTAAAAGATTTCCGTTTTACAATATTTATCCATTTGTATGTGGGTAAGATTCACACACAGTTACATTTTAATCAAGGTCAGAACTGCAAAATAGCAAGTTCTTTTTTAATATATATATATATTTTTTAAATCAGTGTAAGGCCTGTTCTGTGTTAATTTTTCAACAACTCATTGTGTCTTCAACTGTAAACTGTCACTCGAGAACAAACCATGTTGCTCCCCCTCCAGGTCTAGGTCAGTATGCAGTGTTACTTTTACTTCCAAACAAAACATTTGCAGCCTCTATCAAAAATTGTAAGTTCTGCCTAATTTGTCCACAGTATTTTGTTCCATTAGTCTTGTGAATCCTGCTCTTTAGATATTTGAGACGGGCAGACATTTTCAATTCTAATTTTTCCTGAGGGCTTCCCGTCCATTAACACGGTTCTTGTTGCTTTTTCTTCCTTTTTTCATTATAGTTATTTCTGGATCATTGAAAACAGACATTAGCAAGTGTATAAGACACTTGCAGGTGCAGAACTATTAATGCAGAGTTCTTTACACTCCCTTACAGACATGTATGGCACTGATACTCAACATATTTGCAGGGCCTGCTTTATCTCTTTTTGTGATAGTGGCATGTTTCACTTCACCTGCTTTAGAAATCAAACTCAGGTAGTAACGAGAGGATGTTTTACGCATAGCCACAGACCTGTAGCCCATATTTTAATGTCAACACACTGATTGGACTACCTGACTCCAATTACCCTTTTAAATAAAAGCCAATATGTCAGGGATTCATATACCTTTTTTTTAATACTTTTTTTTGTACTTTTTGGTCCAAGATAAATGTTTTCTATTAAAACATGAAAAACTTTGGTACAACTTTCCATAATAATCAACAGTACTGAGGGAAATAATGCAAAGGGTGTTAGGAAACGGAAAAAAAGAACAATATACTTGATATTCTGTTTCAATTGCTGGCTGTGATGCCTTTATGATGATCACCAACTGGTGTTCAGTTTACCTCTGGGGTGTCATTAGGCAGCATTTACTGGGGCATATGCCTTGGTAATATTTTACCGTGCCCCAATAAAACAATCAGGGGAAATGAATGTGTTTTTGCATTGTCCAATAACATAGAGTAAGAGTGGGCAAACTTCTACAGCAGCTGAGCTCAGGCCCTGTGCTGACTGCTGCTCTAGACTGACAGCTGGACGATGGCAGCAATTAACAGTTTTGTTTTGAGCCCATTTGAATGATGGCAGTTATATGTGTGTGGGCTCATTATTTTATAAGGCTGTGAGGCGAGGTTCATCACTTTGAAGGAATTGAAGACATTTTTTAATAAATTTAAGCTGTAAACACTGCTGTCACCACACATCATAGCTACTGACCAACCAACCAAGACATTTAAGTTTCATTGTACTAGATGATCCTATTATCCTAAGAAACAAGTGTTTTTCTTTCCATTTCCCATCCTCTTGTAATTAAAGAAATCTTAAAATTCAAATTTAAATCCCATCAATTCCTTCTGTCATTCACCCACCGTCTCCACTGCCTTAACTTTACACAGACATTAATGAATGTAGAGGGTGTTAGAAAGCAGTCCAGGGCTGCCTCTTTCCCTGTCAGCATCATTTCACTGAGTGAGTGTCTGCTGTCTCTATGAGCATGTTCATGGCTGAATATGTCTGCTCCAAGTCAGCTTGTCGACTTTAGCTCAGACACCTGTCACATACAGTGATTTCACCTGGCAGTGGACACAGGTGGGTGCCATCTCTCCGCCTTAACATGCTTCTTTTACCTGTCCTGATGGGGGACGCTTTACTGACTTGAGATTCCCAAGGAGTTTTTTTTTTTTGTTTCCTCAGTTATTCTGAGGGTCTAAGGGCCTACTCAGAACAGCTTTCATAACAGCACCTTTTAGGAGATGGAGGTCTGACCAGTGTTAAATGGAGAAAGCTATCCTGTTGCACCATATCATCTGATAAACCTGTACTTGCAGGGGTTATTATGTGCTCCACAAAATAAGATGCAGCAGGGTTTGCAGTTAGTGAGGCAGCTGCCAATGGTAAAAATACCTCTCTTGAATAGACTCTGTTAACTTACTCACTGGTTAACTGCTAGCTTGCTACTTGGGAGTGAGCAAGCTAACTAATGTTAAATAAGCTAGTTTCCCAGTCACTTTACTTTGCGAGGATGCACAAATACATTTTGTTGTTCCATCACCTGGAGTAAGTGGGCCACTAAGATCGACTTGATAGGCCTCATATGACGCTCAAATGTGCTGTTGTTTCAAATCTTGTTTCTTGTGTTTTATTTTGCTGTAGTCTATACTGCATGATGCTGTTTGTGATTGATTGTCGGACAGTTAAAGGCAGGTTTGTTCTCTGAAATGTTGACATGTAAGTTACTACTGATGAGGATGCATTTCAACGAGATGAAGGAGCAGTGCTAGCAGCTCCATGAGTCCGTACTAGGGCACAGTAGCTAAATGTTAACATCAGCATGCTAACAATACTCACAGTTTCATTGCTAACTTGTTGACGTTTCACAGATGCATCAATGTTAACTATGTTCACCGTTTGCTAATTAGCACTAAAACACTAGCAAACTTGGGGGCCATAAATGTCAGAGCAAAACTTCATGACAGTCAGTCTAATAGTTGTTGAAATACAAGTCTGGCGCAGAGTGGTGGACCAACTGACCGACGGTTTGACCATTCATAAAGCGACTCTGCTAACATGGTTAAAAAGAAGGAGTACGTCTTTTCGCCCCACAGGTACTGACACTCAGATAAAGGTGTTGAGGTCCTGGAGGACTGTACACCACAGCCTTAAGTTGCAGTGCCCCTGTTTTGCACACTTTGTCATTCCGTGTGCTTACTCAATTACAGAATACCTTCTCCTCTCAGTACCATACTAAAGGGGAGAAGCCCAAAAGCACAGCGGTGCACAGTGTTTGCACTCATTCATTCGGAAAATACAATTATTCTCCCTCCCCTCGGCTGTGAAATTGCTGTACAACCGCTGTTAAACACGCCGCAGTCATAATCACTGATAAGAGATGCATGGGGCCGGTCCTCCTCTGCCAATACAATATGCAAACGATGCCCTGCCGTTCTACCCATCTTGTTACTGAGCGATATTAGAGTTTCTAAAGACACTTAGGAAAGGCAGCAGATGTGACGGGTGTCAGTGAGCAGCCCCCCCCTCCCCCGTTCCCTCCCAACGCTGCTGCTTCCTGCCAGGATCATGGTCAGGGATCCAGAGAAGGTGTGGTACAAAATGAGTGATTAATAACACAGAAATGTACAGTAGACGGGATGCTGATAAGAAGAGATGCTGCCTGGGTTTCAAATGGGAAAGACAAACACAGTTCAACTTAGCAGCAAATTAGTACCTGCTAAACAATTTCAATTCAATATCAGCAAGTATGACAAGACAACAGATCAGGACCAGAAAACCACAATTGTAGCATCAAACACATGCATGGTTTCAAGCTGATCCTGGTAGTGGCCGTGTCATTTTCACGGTTATAGAGCTTAGAGGAGCCATTTGTAAGGTTTCTCTGCCGCCCAAAGTGGTTTCTTGCTGGGACGGTATGATGGTGATTGTTGCTTGACAAGAGCCTCAGCCATTGTCGTGTTTACAAGACAAAAGGTCATAATACCTTCTCCAAGCAGCGCTACGTCTTCAGGGCAGATTAGAGGGCGATAGAGACTAGAGTTAACATTGGCATTGCTTTCTACCACTGGAGACAGCAGTTGGTGATAAGAGGAAGGAAGTTTGATGCCAAACCTGCAACCTTTCTTCTATGACGTTTCTTCTAGTGAGTAAACAGCTGTTAATGCTGTGGACAATTCATCACCTGTGGCTCCATCTATCATCACTTAAGTTTCATAGCTACAAAATCTTCAGGTTGCCTCTGTCAAACTAGATGGTAAAACCGAAGATTGTGAATCTCTCACTGATCTATATTTACCATCTTTGGGTCTCACGCAAGAACCACATGTATGGAAAGATTGTTTTTAAGTGGCACGTACAAGTGATTTATGGTTGGTAGCGACGAACGAGACATGTGCCGAGCTTGTTTCAGACAGCTGCACCTGAAGCTCCGCGGTGTGAAATTCTTGTTCTGGCTTTGTGAATGCCCTCAAATGAAGCAGAGTAGGTAGCCTTATATTGATTATGCTGGTGATCAAATTGCACAAACGAGCACCTGCTCACGAACAGGTGGCATTCGTCAGGCTGAAATGAACAATTTTCCAGTTTGTTTGAGCCAAATTTGTGCAGGTAAGAGAGTTTGGGTGAATCGACTCGGAACATTCAACTTGGATAAGAAAATGTTTTTGCATGAGGCCCACTGAGAGTGACAGTTCTCTCTTGACCTTTGCACTCAGCATATCACACTGCTGATATTAGCAGGTGAAGTTTTGGTCATTGTTTTAAGGAAATGTAGACGTTCAAACTTTCCTTTATTCGTCTCAGCCATGTCGGCCTAGACGTTGAGCTCGACAGTTCATGATCAATGAACGAGTGGAAATAAAAGTCTGAATTCCAGCTGTTAACCAGTGAAATCTAACCTAATGTTCAACCAACCAATCAGCCTGAAATCTTTAACTGGTCACACTGTGCTCAGATAAACATAAAAAGTGAGTCAGCGTGAGAAAGGAAATGACATGTACTTACATGTTTTGTTACTTTTACTTTATTGTTATTGAGACAAATGTTAGTTTACTGTGATATAATGGTAGATCAGGCTCAAGATGCTGCACCAGTGGTAGTTCATCAGTGACAGCAGGGGATCATTTCTATCTTTATGTTGAAGCCGGCTCTAATCGGATAATGTATTATTTAGAAAACTAGGCATTTTCCCAATGCACAATTTGTCTGACAGCTACCGTGTGCTCTGAAGAGGACATAAAGATTCAGATCAGACTAAAAATAGAGGATAAATTGAGTATAAGTGGGTCAGCTCTTTACTACAGGTCTCTGCAAAACATCCTCCTCCATTTCCCCTCTGCACTGATCCGTCTCCTCTCTCACTCACTTAAAATGCACGAGTAATTGGGAGTTTTTTCCCCCCCTGCTCCTAAGGATAAAGACAGCAAAGATACAGTGATGTATTGTGCACAACACAGGCAGAATAAAACAGTGGGTTTGTTTGTGTGTACAGCTCTACCACAATACACCTCCACACTGATGAGAAGAGAGCTCCGGGAGGCTGCTGAGATCCAGCAGTGGGTGGGTTCAGACAAATAAATAAGAAACAGGTCTGTCTCACTGCGAGGATCCTCTCTCTGTGCAGGAAGCTGCAGATATGTGCGCGCTCGTCGTCTCCATCTGTGCCTGTGTGCAACGGTAACCAAGTGTAGGCATAATGAGATTCATGTGCACAGACGGTTATCAATAAGCTGTTGCCAGTCTCGCTCACTAAACCGTGACATTAATCAAACAGAACAAACACGCAATCAAGATTTTATTACCAAATGTTTTATTAGAAAATATTTTACACGCAAAAAAAAAAATCCTAAACAAACAAACCAGGTAAAGTGATGAGAGCAAAGTCTGTCCGGTTTTTTTATCCTGCAGAGTTCAACAACACAGTAGAGAGAGTAAACAGCACATCTCCTGTTTACTGTGTCAGTTTATCTACAATATTCTGCTCAAAACTTAACTGCTCTGCAGTGAGCACGTTCGCTTGCACAGCTTGCACTGGATTTTAACCAGTTACTTGTGATGTATACAGATTGCGTCTAGTGGATAAATAAGATTTAATTAATTAAAACATCTAATTAATTAACATTTTTTCTGGTAATTCTGAGTTTGTTTTTCTTTTTTTTTTTTTCCCTGAACATTGCATGTCAAAGATTCAGGTAAGATTATAAGATAAAAAATGAAAATAAGTAAATGAAGGTTTGCTTTGTAGCTCTGCATGTAAACGTCCTCACTGACTTTAGTTACAGAAAAACAGACCACTGGCTCAAGGTCACGGTCACAGTCGGTCCCAGATCAAAACCGAGGGATTTCAGTGTTCTCACATGGAAGAACATACTGTTTGTGTTTGAGAGAGAGAGAGAGAGGTTAGAAGTTGTCTGCGAGGTCCATGATCCTCTTCCGCTCAGCTTCTTTGTACTCGTCACTCTTCCCATCGCCGATGCTCTCTGCGTACTCTGCAAAAGACGGAGAGAAGTCGGCGGATTAGTTGACTTGACAGCGCAGGCGTGGCTGTTTGACTTTTGAAGGTACAGAGAACATCCTCGGAGCCAGGAATTCACGAGCTCCGTCTCCCCACGGCTGAACAGAAGATAAATGTGAGCGGGAAAATAATACACGGTTTAGGAATCTGCCTGAAAGTCTTATTCAGAGTGACGGCAGAATGAGCTCTAGTCACTTTGTCACCAAAAATAAGGAGTAAAAGGTGAATGTCCTTGTGTTCTCACAGCCCTGAGAGCAAGGAAAGAAACAGATGTTAGTATTTGAACAGCAACTGGACGTAAAGACACATACGTATATGTACACACAATATAGATTTTTCTAAGTAAAAGAAAAACATAAGCAAACATTAACAGGAGTTAACTCGTCAGCAGCTCCCATTCCTCCCACTCGCTTCTGAAATTGTGTTTATATCTGGTTGTCTACAGTGGAGAATGCCGAGTGAAGACAGTGAAGAATTGCCATCATTGAATAGCTTTTCACTACAGTCTAGACTGTACTAGTTCAGTCTGCCCATCACTTTGTAACAAAACTCTTATTACAAGATGTTTCCTTTGAAAAAGTGCTGTCATATCATGAGCCGTCCCTGGACAGCGCCTGTGTCCTCCGGCTGTGAACAGTAATCAGTCCAGGTGTATTGTGCAGTGATGGCACTTCATCGCGTCCTCCTGAGCGCTTCCTTCATTTTGTGCGTCTCGCCTCCCACACAAGGCCTCCGAGACCAACCAAAAGTCGATTTGTGAGTCTAATGTACAGAAAGAGAAAGTTGCAGCTGCTGCAGACCCGGTGGAGTGCGGGCATTTGTTCCATCTCTCGGCCAGCCTCTGAGGCAGGGATCACACATTAAACCCGGGGATGTCGAGACAGAGAGATGAAAAAGACCACTCTCTTCTCTGGGAGACACTGCAGAGAGGAGAGAATGACGGAGAGGTGGGGGAGGCTTTCCTGACAAGAGCCCGCAGGGTTTAGGATGAAACACGGCTGTCAAAGACACAGAGGAGATTTTGTTTTACAGTTTCACAATTTTACAGTTTGCTTTCATTTTCTCCACTAAATAAGCCCGACTGACCCGGGGCTTTGCTTCAAACCTTTCTCACTGTCTCATTGCTCTCAGCATCGCCACAGTTTCTTCACCAGATTTCAACAGTTTCTGTATCTTGGTGAATACAGATAGAAATGATGCCAAAACTACAAAAAGTTTTATTTTGATCAAATGGAATTATCATTTAAAAGTACTCAACTGATAACAAGCTCAAAAATCACTGGAGGTGGTTTACGCTGTTGCCTCACAGCAAAAAAAGGTTCTGGGTTCGAACCTGCAGTTTGCATGTTCTCCTCGTGCCTGCGTGGATTTCCTCCTCGGCTTCCTCCCACAGTCCAAAGACATGTAGGTTCAGGTTAATTAGCCACTCTAAAATTGCTGGCAACCTGTCCAGCCATCGCCCAACATCAGCTGGGATTGGCTCTCGCCGCCAAATGTGGAGGAAGAGAAAGGACGTTTCTCTCTGAAATGTCATGGAGGAGAAATATAAAGTGGCGGAAGATAAAAAAAACAAAAAAGTAAAAAAAACAAAAAAACACAAGGTGTCTGAAAATTGCACCACCGTCCATCACTGCATGACAGAAGTAAAGGAATAAATCAGACAGGTTTGTATTAAAGGCAGGAGCAACATCAGTCATATTTGAGCTGTAAGGAAAGCAGACAGATGACGGCAGGGTGGTGCAGTGGTTAGCACTGTCGCCTCACAATGAGAAGGTTGTAGGTTCGGTTCTAGGTTTCTGTGTGGAGTTTGCATGTTCCCCTCGTGTCTTCTTCTCTTCCTCCCACAGTCCAAAGACACACAGGTTTAGGTTAACTGGTGACTCTAAGATCGCCTGTAGGCTTGAATGCTTGTTTGTCGCCTGTGTGTCACCCTGGCCCTCGCCCAACGTCAGCTGGGAATTTGCCTAAAAGGATAAGCAGTATGGGTAATGGATGGATGGACAGCAGACAGTATAATGCATGAGATACAGGTTTGCAGACTGGAGAATAGAGGTCACTCCATCACTGGATAACCTGAACAGAGCTGGGTTGAGCTATAAGTTATAAAAATGTAAGTGCAGTAGTTCGGGGGGGTGGGGGGGTGGGGGTGTAGGTTTGGACCATGGCACAGAGATATGCAGCTTCCGCAGCAGCAGCTCTGGGGGGATCTGAACGGATCCCCAGAGGTGTGGGATGTTAGTGAACTACAAAATGGCAGAATTTCACGGTTGACTGAGAAAAGCAGGTTAGGGGAAACGGAGCGAGTGACTCAACAAAAACATGAAAACCTACAGACTCTTTTCATTGTTCGCCTGTCATTGTCCCTGTGTGTGTGTGTGTGTGTGTCTCCGTGTCTATAAATGGCGATGCAGTCAGCCACACAGACGGAAAGGTCAGAGATTCGGTGACTCTTCAACTCTCTGCAGAACCTTTTCTTTGGCATGCTGGTACTCTCTCCTCCTGTCACCACGGCAACACGGCAGAGGACAATACAGTACTGAGCATCGCCATTACTCAGGTCAGTGACTGGGACTGATCTGCCATGAGTACAAGGAGAATCGTTTCCAGGAGCAGTCTCTGCAGCAGCAGCAGCAGCAGCAGCTCCGGGTAGAGACACACTCCAGGACTTTGAGTGTGATTACAGCTGCAGCTGGGACACAGCAGCTCATTTAAAACACCCATATACCCAGTCTGAAACTGGTCTGATCCAGCCGCACAAAGGGCAGCTGGCACAAGTGATCCTGTGCTGCGTTCATCCGACCGCAGAAGTCGTGGCATCGAGTGTCACTGACACAAACGGCGGAGAAGAAATCAAAGCCGTTCTGAGGTTTCTGTTAAGTCGTATTATGCTCGTCAACGCCGAGATAAACTGCGTCTTTATATCTAGATCAGAGGAACGCGGTGTGAAATAATGTCTACTGCAAAGATGTCTCTAAAATACCACCATCAAAACATAAAAAGGACACCTTGAGAAAAATCACCAGCTAATTTGTATGGCCACATTTAGTCAGCCATCTGCTGAGCTGTTTTTTGTTTTTTAAATAGCTGTTTCCAAGGCTTTTAAAGGAAATGGCTGCATTAATAAGTATTTCCTATGTAGCCAGTAAAGAAAAGAGCTGCACTATAACGCACTGCTTCATTACTATAACTGCATTTTGGATCTTTGGAGAAAAGGATCAGGTGGTGTGTTGATTATATTTTCTACACAGGCTGGTTTTTCTCTTTTCATGGGATTTGTTGATAATAAAAAAGAATAATAATAACCAGAGTTATCCTTTAATGATTCAGATCATCAATCAGAAGTCATACTTCAACAGTGGCTCAAGTGTCAAGGAAGGATAAATGAAAAATTCATACAGTGACTCTGAAAATGAAACCCCCCACACCACTCATGATGTTCGATCGGGGGCCGTGTGTCCTACAGTTTCTGTACCTTTCCAAAACCACAACCACTTCATACCATGATGGGTCAACCTGCTATCACCATCCGTCTCAGGTGATCCATCAACTCTTAAGTTCAGGTGTGAACGCACCCAAGACGCCTCAAGACGCATTTGAGATTCAATCACTCAGGTGGTCTGGGCCACGTTGAAGAACCGCCTACTTCACTGACGTCCTCTGTCACGGTCTAATTAGTCCCCCAACAGTTTCAAAACGAACCTCAAATACTTTACTATTTCAAATGACTAAAACTTTACGTCTGTGTGCAGCACATGGTTTCGCTCAATCTCTACGTTCCCCGTTCTCCCTCCCTCTCTCTCATCTGTCAGACTGGTTAAAAACAACGCATTTTAACGGGGGATTTCTTTTTTCATTCCTTACGCCTTCCAGGAGAGACCGTCTGAAAATCTTGTTGTTGTTGTTCTTCTTCTCCCTCTCTCTGTGACGGCCTGCTTTTCGCCCCGCCTCGGTGTGGCTGTTCAGAACTGCTAAAAACACTTTGGGCGTCAGACAAGGCCAGACAACATGTTGTACCAACTAATTCTGTTAGACCTTAACCCAGCCCTGAGGCAAAGGAGAAAACAAGTCCACCAGAAAGTATATTTGACATTACCTGAATGTCCTTTATTCCTATTCTTTATACAGTTTCTCAGAGCTCCACTAGCACTACCTTGAAGGCAACATACAGTGTTTAACATGAATCTTTATAATTACACCAAGTCTAACCACCTGTCAAATAACCTACCTAAAGTTTCTTAAGTGGAAAACCTTGCCCCAGGTTTTCACAGCATTAGTGAAATCAATGTTCTTCCTTCCATTGTGCAAAGCCTTCCTTCCTGCAGAGCTGCTTCTCATTCAGAGAACTAAAGCCATTAAGGTCAAGACTTCAGAGCCGGCGACACACTTTGCATGTGCTTAACCTTTTACTGCAGTTTCACGTTGACCAGTTGAGGCACTTGAAATGAGAGAGGGCTTCACAGTGCGGCCTAATGAAAAGGGTGAGGGCATGCGCCACGAGCCAAACACACACACACACACACACACACACACACACACACACACACACACACACACACACACACACACACACACACACACACAGATGCTATTGGACGTACACATGCAACAGCACCATACCATTACAGATGCATACACACGGTCTTCAACACATAAACACAATCGCAATGCATGACAAATACCTATACGTCAAGATCATGCAAGGACAAGCTCACGCGACATGCACATTAATATGTGAAAACATGCGAGGGCCAACATGAATACAGTCTGCAAACTGTATCACAAAGGAAACAGACTCAACATGATCATACCTGCATACAATTTCTCTCAAAGGGATGTTAATATGAAAAAAAAAATATGCAGATAGAAGCAAACAAGGTGCACATAAATATGCAGACATGCTAAAGGCAAACATTTACACACACAACAAAACAAATCTTGTTAGTAGGTAAAAACACATCATGGAAACTACACAGAGAAGTAAGGCACACGTGTATGCAAATATGCAGATGAAAACAAAAAGCAAATACACATTTGAAAACACATTCCCACACACACACACACACACACACACACACTGAGGACTGGAGAATTGCCATGCTTGCTGGCACTGCCATGCGTGACGGATGGCTCTATCTTCAGTGCTACATGCCACCGAGAGCCAGGGGGGTGTGTGAATGGAGCCTCGTCCTCGAGCTTTATCCGACAATGATACAGGAAGGATGGATGTCACACCGGGAAGAAAATAACACACCTGCTAGGTCTTTGAAAACCAAACAGAAAACAAGTACGGCAGGACAGGAAATCTTTGGGACGGGGGGAAAAGAAGTGGTGAATGACAGACTCTGCTCCTCTCACACTGACAATACGATCAAATTATAATGTGTATTCACACGCCAGGATGTATTTCTGTGTATTGTTTTACCAATTGTACACAGGTAATGTGAATAAGAAGCACATAAACACCTGTTTATACACTTCTACTTGGATGTATCAGATGCTGGATTTTTATTGTGTTTGTTTATTGCTGCAATATCTTTAGAATTAAATTAGTTCTCCAACTGAATTTTGTATTTAACGATTTTCAGGACCATCATTATCACCTATATCCTCCTCTGTTCCTCTGCTCCAGTAGGTCTCCATAAGCAGGGGACAGTGTGACCAGTACAAAGGAGGGATGTATTCAACAGAAGCCTGCACAAAACACTGGTTGAGATAAAGAACTCAACTCAATCTTTAAAAAAATAGAGAGATGCATTCTGACAACCCAGTTTGAAAGTTGACCCAAGTCTGTTTCTTTGTTCCCACAGAATAAGTAAGAATGACATTATTCATAGTATTTTATTATAATCCAGCACACCCACTTTGGCAGGCGAACAGCATGGGCTCAATATCAAACGACAACCACGGCTAAAGAGCAGTGATTATACCAACATTTCCCTAAAAAGTTGCTTCCTTGCCAAGCACTCTGAAACAGGATTTTAAAAAATGTGTCAATAAAGTGCTTCTCCGAAAGTAAGACAAACTGTTTTAGCTGTAGGGGCAGCTACTGTCCCTTCCACAATATACATCTCTTTAAACATTTTATTTGCTCTATTTCACTCCATAGTGAAGGATTTATGTTTCTGGTGCCACTGCCAGGCCGACCTGTAGACGTGAGAGGGGTTCATAGTTGGAATCAGACACTAAACTCTTACTTAGGCAACATCCACACTAATATATTTTCATTTTAAAGATCGTGTTTTAAAACAAAAACCATCTCAATCCAGACGACCATTTTAGCTCCATATCACAAATAATAAAAATGCAAGGAAGAGCGAAGGCAGTTGTAGCATTAAAATGGAGAATTTAACTGCGCAACAGCAGCTAGCAAAGACAACAAGGTTAGCAACGCCGCTATTTCGTTATCCATGTTGCTTTCACCACTGTTAGTCGAGGCTGATAAAACCCAATCAGGGAGCGACAGTGGACGACCATGTCATTGTTTCCAATGATCTTCGTTTTTGCTCGTCCAGACCTCAATGCAACCCTGGAGTTTGTAAACTAAAGCAGAACCAGCAGCGTTTCCAAAAGTCTCAGTTTTAGGGGCTCGAAAACTCCGGAGCAGTGTGGACGCCAGGCGTAAAAAAAACTGTTTTGGTAACATGTTTTAACAGTAACTGGATATGAGGCGATGTCTCTGCTTAAACCATAAAATTACATTCCTTCACTGAACAAAGGCCTTTATTTGAGACTATTAAGAATGCCTTTATTTCTTAACTGCCTCATTATGTAAGTACATTTAATCTTATTTTAGTGAGAAGTCGGGTTCATTTTCTCACAATTCCTCCATATGTTTCACATTAAAAGGCCCCAGCAGTGTCGTGAAACACCTGCGAGAAGCGAGTTTCAGTAACAGCAGATTACCGCCGAGAAAGCACAGTGAAGTAAAACTGACTGGAATCCATTAACCAGTGAGTGAGAGAGAGTTTCTGTTAGAAAGAAAAACACAGAGCAACAGAGGACAGAGCACAGCACAACTATGACGTTAAACTGAACTAATACTCCCCCACAATACACTGCATTTTGTTTGTTTGTTTGTTACTAAAACTGGTCAATTGCGAGCTGTATTTTATTTGAGAAATTGCTGTGTTAAAGAAAACAAAGTGACTCACCTCTCATGATGTGGCGTACTACTTTGACGGAGCCTCCTCTGAGGTTGAGGATTTGATGAACTCGCTGCTGCAGCTAAACGCAGAGAAAAAGAGGACCATTAAAACACACCGTAGATTTAAAGTCAAACTGAAATTTAAATTCACTTTTGATAATAAATCAGTGTATTTATGCTCAGTGGTTGTTTGGACCTTACTTGATCTTATTCAATTATCAAAGACAAAGTTTTGACAGTCTGGTTTTTTGACATCACCTTCAACAAGACCCAGACAGCTAACGCTAGCTAGCCCTCCTACTTTCTATAATGTGGGACACACGCAGTGCTACATGTGTGGAAGATGCCAACCATGACTCAGCAGGTGTTGAAATAACATGAACAAAAGGCAACAGCAAGTGGGAATCAGTACTAACATTAGCAAGCTTAGCTAACTAGCCTCCATTTTCTGAGTGGAAGCAACTTAGCTTATCTTGCTAGTTTCTGTTTCCAGAATGAAATACAATCACAGCACAATAGGTCCTCCTGACAGCTGTCTAAACTCGCTAACAGTGGATGGCTAACACCGTGAGAGCTCGTTAAGAATAAAATAAAAAAAATAAAAAAAAGTCTTGTTTCGATGTTTGTAGGTTATGATGTGTTCCCGACAGCAGCGCGCCACAGAAACTGACAGCATGTCCCCAGGCAACAACAGCTGTGAGGTGTCAGTCAGCCGCTGCCACGGCAAACACCCACTCAGAGGCTGTTTTCACAAACATGTCCAAAAAGTGTTTTATCCTCTTTGGAAAACATGAAAAAAAAATTCACAATACCCAGAGTATCATTATAGTTCATATTTCCCTATTCAAAAACTCAGATTGGCATCAATATCAGATGGGAGGCATCACACAAATATCTGAACTGGAATTTGAAAGGGGAACTAATTTATTATTATTCGCTAAAAAAGCATGAGGTGAGCAGGGCTGGACTGCAGCTATTTAAACTGCAGGTCCAGTCTTAAACACACACAAAAGTGTCACCGCATGAGTCCAGTGAAACCCAGATTAGAGGTGAAGTGAATGAGCCACTTGGCTGCAGTGCCCATAAAAACCATCTGACTCCTGTCTGCTTTTATAGCCTGTCTGATCAGATGTGCGAACAATAATTAATCTGAAAGGGAAATAATTTGGAAAACCAGTCAGTCAGTCAGTGTGTGTGTGTGTGTGTGTGTGTGTGTGTGTGTGTGTGTGATTGTGTTTGTGTACCTGTGAGATCCCAGAGTTGCTGATCTCCACCATAATGTAGCAGATCAACTGAAGGACGAACAGTCCGGCATCCAGGCGGCGAAGGTAGAACTCGTCCTCCATGCTGTCGTCCAGGATTTCCCCGCGACGAACCATCTCCTGATCACACACACACACAAAAAGGCACAGCACATTCATAAAAAGAGAACATGCATTTATGCATGACGAGTGAACAAATCCCAATTTACTGTTTTTTTAAGAGGGTTCCTCTTGTTCATTGCACACTTTAGATTCAACAAACAAAATCAGAGAGTAAGTTTAATTTAGGTGTTGTTTTTCATCGTTTTCCACAAATCCATTTTCTACATTGACCAGACACAAATCAATTGATTTCACAGCGTAGCTGCAAAAAAGAAGGGAGGCGGGTACACACTCACACAAACACACACACACTTGCATAGTTATCCATCTTAACAACCCTGTCAGTATGCCAATAACACAGTGCTGCCAATATGCACACAGCCCACATTAATCATCATTAGAGATTAAGACGCAGACCTGAGTGGGAGAGGGGAGTCTGGAGTGTGAGCCATTGGAGTGGGACAGAAACAGACAGTGTGTTAAGTGTTTGGCTGTCACACAGTTTTACTTCTGTGCATGAACAATAGGAAGATATATTCTGTTAAGGCTGTAAACAATGCACAAGTTATTGCAGTGAGGAAAGTAAAGCTGATGATGCCGCTTTACATTAAAATCTTAGCTTTTTAATTTAGATCTAGATCATTTTAAATTTAGATCATTTACTAATTTAAAGACACAGGCTGAAAGATGTAGGAGGAGTAGTTCTGTAGCATTCTGCCACACAGTAGTAAATTTGTGATTGTTAACGTTCCATCATAAATGATTTTTGGTCAAAACTTTGAACTTAAAAATCATTTCTTACTATTATCTAATGGATTTTATAGAATATTACATACATTAACCGAAGGATTAACATTTCCCAACAGAGTTCTCCTGGTCAGTTTTGACTACATGCTGCAAACCTACCTAAGAAATTCTATATCAACTATATGTGAATCATGCATCTGTTTCAGTCTACAAAAGGACGGCCCAGTACTAGAGAGAAAAAGCAAACGTGCTCCAGTATGTGACAGTAAATCAAGAAAAAAGGGGCGACTTTTCAAACCGCTCCTAATGAAAACAAATAGCTTTCAGCGTCGAGCTAAAGGGTACTACACATGACATTTACATCCCAATGATTTAATCTCAGAGAAAATTAAAACTTTCAAAAGGCCTTGTCCTTAAAGATCAATTACACTGTAAAACCCAATTATAACTGTTAAGTTCAGCTCATTAACATGCCTCAATCAAAGGGCAGCTCTTGAGGACTACAGTACGAGACTATTCTGGGAAAACCATTTGAGCTGCAGGTTGCAGAGCTGGGACAAAAAACAAAACCAAACAAACAACATATCCATTTTTGTGACATTGGGTTCTGACAGCAGGATTTCATCCTGCTTTAATGATTTCATCCTGAGAGAAGAGAAAACAAGCAGATACAACTTTAGAACAAAGGCCTACTGTACAATGTCAACTGTAGGTTATAAAAGATGCAAAACAATGCAGATAATTAACAACAAGAACCTTTAATAGAAGCTGAATGTAGGGCATTTGTCTCTTCTGTGTCCTCTGGGTAAAACACTGGCCCAGAATTCTGTCTTATTACAAAGCAGAGACTTATCGCATTGTAAAATAGTCCCAGCGCTCGGCCTTGTTGTCAACTAGCAGCCATTAAATATGTAAAAAAAAAAAAAAAAAAACTTGAAACAAAGCTATTTGAATGTAAACTGTGTTTCCACTACTTCCTGTAGGAGAAAAGATTATCTCAGTTTCCAGGACAACTCAGCTCATTATTCAGAGCCAATACAGTAGCTTGAGGCAAAGTTACACAAATCTCACAATCCAACTTCAGCAAAGATACAAAACACAGGATGTGATGGGACACAATACATACATGTGACCCCTGAGGGAGAGTGGAAAACAGCACGCACATGCACACACACACACACACACACACACACACACAGATGTGCAACACACACCGTGCTTGCTGCGTTTGCATTTTTTCTCTCATTGTTTCACACCAGAAGTCTATTTCCTGTCATCCTCATTACTGCTCGTTGGCCAGCACTGCAAAGGAGAGCTGGAGGCATTTTCTGAGAGGGTCTCGGACAACTCAATTACTGCATATCCACAGGTTTCCATTACAGCAGTCCGACTATCAGCTGCAGGGGAATGGGACTTTATCACAACCGTATAAAACAATGTGACTGCGGCTTGGTCTGTGATGTGTGTACTGGCGAGATTAGAGGAAATACAGTAGGATAGACTGCAAGGTGTGTCAGCAATCACAAATTAATTCTGAGAGCAAGGTAAAACATCGAGGCAACACGGTAATGTCAACATCAATCATACAAAGAGGATTCCAAACCGCTTTCCCATTCAAATGAACGCTATAGTTTACAGATGCTCCCTCAACGCCTCGCGTACAGACTATTGGAAGATGCTAACCAGGCGTCTAAAATGTCAGAATAACACCAGGATGGATAAAAGGAACTGATCATCTCTGAGTCATACGATTCTGATGGTTGGGACAATTTGGAACCGGTTTTCTACTGGAACTGGTTCTCAATTGCCAATTGTCGAGGATGGTCTCTGGCCTTTTTGATCTTTTTCAGCTCCCCACTGATTCAATGGTCAACAACTATGACCTCCTCCCAGCCGGTGTCTCCCAGATAATTTAAGAATACTACAGGTTTATGTTATGAACATCATGAATCATCTCTTAGTTTCTGAGAAATGTCATGTGTCTTCCGTCTGTTTGGTCTGTCAGATGTCTCTAGGTGCCATGATAACCTGTGAGCCTGAAGCTGGACTTATGCTCCTGCAACAATACACGTAAACGCATCCACAACCCTGCGTAGATAAGGGTGTTATGGGTAACCATAGGTAAGCTCACAGAGAGGATTAAGATGACCTATCCGAGCCGTAACAAATCCAGAATTGTAAGTCTTAGTTGATGCCAGACATTTACTTCTGTAACCCTTGACACCTGCAGTAACTCCTCCTCCTATTAGGCCACTCGTCAAGGGGAAAAAAGAAAGAGAAAGATTTTCAAATAAAGGTCTTAGACGAGTCAATTGCTGCACCCTCCGGGGAGCCTCCCTGTAATGGAATAGAGAAAAGATGTTCAACACACATGATGAATCAAGCCAGATCTTTGAATCTGCACAGGGAGTGGAGGGTTTTGAACAATGATAAGTGCATTAAATATTCATTATTGTGAGGAGCGGAAATGGACATTTGGGACATTAAAACCCGAGCAGATGTGGGCTGTGTGGCAGTATTCATTACAGCTGCGGAGTTTTGTCCATTTGTGAGTTTTGACACTGCGGCCAATATCTTTTGTGTGGCAGCTCGGTCCCTCTGGCAAACACCGGGCAGAAGAAGCAGAGAAAGAATAACGTGTTTAAAGGAGGGATTGGACAAGTCAATTACTGCAACCTCAAGGGAGCCTGGCAGCCTGGCTACAGTACAGACAAAGTAATAAGCAGCGATTTTCAGTCTCTGTCCCTCTACTGTAACTCAGCTGCATTGTGCAAGAGTGTTTGTGTGATGGGGTGTGTATGATTTATGTGAGCCTGTGTTGTGCGGTACGAGTGCTGGATGTGTGTACTGGAAACCTCGCATGTGTGTTTGTGCCCGTGTGTGACATACAGTATGTATGAATATTGTGCGTCTTTCAATGAGAATCTTCATCTGGGTTTGTGTTCCTTAATGTAGTATTCGGGTTTGAAAACGTGTTTGTCTTTCCTTTGTGTGTGTGTATTGTTGTGTGTGGTAGTGTTGTGTGTGTGTGTGTGTGTGTGTGTGTGTGTGTGTGTGTGTGTGTGTGTGTGTGTGTATGTTTGTGGATGGTTGTTATTCATGTGCTTTCTTTTCCGCTGGGATGCTTAGATGCAGAATTAAAGTTATTTCTTTGTCAGCACTTTGCAAAAACCCACTGTGACTCTGTGTATGAGAGTATGAGTGTGTGTGAGTGTGTGTGAGTGTGTGTGTGAGTGTGTGTGTGTGTGTGTGTGTGTGTGTAGGACGTAATGCTCTTTATGAAGCTTAAGCAAACACCAAGAAGAGAGAGGTTAGATATCCTCATTAAAAACAGAGACAGAGAGGTTGATAATGAGGCAAACTTTGAGGAAAAAAAATACAACTTTGTGAGAGTGGGAGACAACATGCTGATTTCAAGTTATGATAATCTCCAAAAGAAACAACAGCCCTGTGGCTTGGGGTGCACATCAATTAGCATTTGTTTCACAGAGTGGGGCAAATCAAAGCAGCGGTGTTCCCAGGAGGGAGGAGGTACTTGCTCCATCATGACATTCAGTCTGTGCTGAACTCTTTCCAACAGAACTTTTAATCCAACAGAGTTTGTCTGTGTTGAGTCTCGAGCAGTTTCTCAGTCCTGATCTTTGACCGCTCCCCTCAAACTGCCAAGACGAGGCAAAAAAAAAAGAAAAAGATTAAACAAACAAATTAAACAATAGCCAAACCAACCTGTTTGTCCTTATCCTTGAATTGTTTTCTCGTTTTTAAATTTTTTTTTTTTTTTTAAAGTTTAAGTCGAAGTTTGTTTTCAATGTGGTATTTACTCATTGTTGCCCCTTGTGGCTGTTCTTACCAACTGTCACGGCCTCAGGGGGCAATAATGAGCTCATTACAGCATCACAATGGCCCAGTTCAGACCTGGTGTTCACATCCGTCTCAGGTGATCCGATCGCATGTGGACAGCTCTGAGTTCAGCTGTGAACGCACCCAAGACGCATTTGAGATCCGATCACTCAGACCACATTCGGAGGTGGTCAGGGCCACATTGAAGGACCGCCTACTCCTTTTGACGTCCTCTCCTGCAGTCTGATTAGTCCCGCCGCAGTTTCATAATGAATGAAAATATTTTACCACTTCAAATGACTAAAGCCTTTTATTTCGTTGTAGAGCTGTGCGCAGCAGATGACTGGAGACGCATGCTGATACCAGGTCAGATCAGAGCCAATGAGGCGAAGACGCCGCCACAACAGAAAACTTGGGACATGCAACACAAA